GTGTGACAGTTTTCACCCTCAGCTGTGAACATTAATGTTGATCAATAACAGTTAAAGACCTCAGTTAGTGCTTCTAAATTTAGCCCATAAGTTTGTCAAGTGCTAATCCACTAATAAATTAAAAATTAGCAAAAGCCCTAAAGTACTAATCAAGAAATGAGTCCCCCCATTACGGGAACTGTGCCCACCACTGGTCAAAACGATAAGGAAATTTCATGAAAACTTGATAGTGAGAAGTTATATAATCTATTATCACATCAGAATAAATTTACCTGCCCGATAGAGGAAGAGGAGCRGCTGCTTCCTCATTTCCTGAAGGGGCAGCTCAAACTTTAAGTTCTTTTAATGTCAGAACATTTAATCCACCAAAGCTTTTATTATTTTAAATCTACTTTGAGTTCAAAACTAAAAAATAATRTTGCACAGGTGGAATATTTCTGATTAAATTAAAAGTGAGTAAAAAATTAGCTTGTAGGAAGCAGGTGATTAAATGTTGCAGTGAGTTTAAACTAAGAGTTTCCTCATGTGCTGGCTTCCTGTCTCAGTCTGCAGTGGTTCCTGTGGTTTAGATCATTTTTAAAAGAAGCCTGCAGCTCAGGCTCACTAATCACATACTGCAGATTAGCTCTGGTACCAGGTCCTGAGCGCAGCATGGCTGACCCAACAGAACCAGGAGTGACAACCTCCTCCAACAACTCATCCCTCCTGAACCCCAGCAGCTGTTTCCTGCTCCACAGCTCGGCGCTCCCTGTCTTCATCCTGATCTACAGCCTGCTGTTTCTGGTGAGTTTCAGGGTTTTCATGGCTCAGAGCTCTTTACTGACAGATCGKTTTAAAACTAGATGCTCACAGAAGCATTTATGACCCCTGCACGCACGCTGAGCATCACTGCACCAGAGCTCTGAACTCACCAGGACAGACTTATTGATTTGGGTGGAGGTCAGGGGGGGGGATCATTGTCGGGCCCACTGGAGAGAGCTTCATCAGACCTAAACCAAAAAAAAATCTGAAGCTCGAACAGTTTGAGTTATATGCATTTTTGTAAGTCTAGACCCCCCGTGGTTCTTTTATAAACCTTTATAAACCTTTATAAAAGTTTAAAGCACAATGAGAGAAAAGAAGTCGTTCTACTTCTGTCATGTGACTGTGACAAACATCATCTCTGATTAACAAATGCATAAACATAGTTAAAGGAAAACTGAATCAAAACTAATGGAGATTATTCTGTTCGTTATGTGATTAACAGGAAGAGAACGTCTCCTCCGTGGTTAGAATGAGCTGTCACGGTTTCAGTTAGGTTCAGAGTGGGACAGAGGGTTTGAAGGCCCGTCTGAGGCCTGATTTAGAGACAGAAATTATTGTTTTAACACTTGACGTGACCCCTACAAGATGGAGCCCCCTCCTC